GTCCTTTGCAACCTTAGTGATTCTGTGATTTGTGACATGCATCAGGCAGCTACTCTTCATAAAGGTTTTGGAGAGGGCAAAATAGCAGGCTTGCACTACGGCCTCAAACCTCCATACAAGGCAGAAAGAGCGCAAATCAGGCTTTCCAGCTTCTGTCGCTTTCAGCCAACGCTTGCTGACTACCTTCTCACTTACTCTCCACAGAATTACGGCAGAGTCTCAGAAAATTTGTCCCTACAGACCTGCCTTATTTCAACCCCATTCTTCCAGGAACAGTACTCCACAGTGACCCTGCTGTGGTTGCTGGAGACGGCTCTGGTCTATGTCCTACTGCGGGCAAGGCCATCGCCTTCACTTCTCTTTGCATATTGCTTTGTTACTTTCCCATTCTGACTCAACTCCATATTTGATCCTCCCAGGATCAAACTTTTGCTAATTCATCTCTGCGTGTACCTCTTGAGAAACCACAGCAGATTTCTGAACTTCCCTCAGCTCTACTTTCCTCCCCTGTAAGGTCACTTTACTTCTTGCTGCTTCAGCCTTGTGGCTCTAAACCCACTTGGCTCCTGCTCCAAACCATTTTCAGAATCCTTACCCCCCTCCCATTCTTCTGCCTCCCTCCCCAGGCACATCTTTTTAAACAAACTAGGAGGGCTTTTTTGTTTTGTTATTCATTAGTGATTCAGAAAGTCTTAACTCCTAACACGGCCTTTGAACACCTTTGCCCCTTCCCCTTTTCTTTCATTGCTCTAATTCCGTCCTTACACACATTAATGATGGATATGTTTGTGTCTGACCCTTGTATCTGGCTTCTCTTGCTAAGAACTCATAGCCTCCTCATTTCTGTCTCCAAGGCTGCCAAAATTTTTCCACAGGGAAGCGACTGCCTTATGGCTTGTCCTCCATATCTGCCAGTGATCCCTGTCGGGCTGGCACCTGCATCCTCCTGTGTCTGGCACACCATGAAGGCATGACTGCTAAATGCAGTGCTTACTTAATGACAGTATTTCTGGTATGGGAGGGAGAGTTTAACTGGCAAATACCTTCATACTTAACACTACAATAGTTATTAGTTATTTACAGCTTTTAAAGAAAAGCTTGTCTACTATATTTAGAATACAAATGCTATGGATTTTAAAAGAGCAAGTATTTGCTACTTGCTGTAACAAAAAAACATCCATTGAGAAGTTCAGCAGTTCCTCTCATATTTTACATTAGTCAGAATCAATATTACTCAAGTTCATCTGAAAAGCTTGTCAGTGGGATCTTGCTAAATTTTAGATACGCGTGATGAGCCACTTGCCAGCCAAACTGATTAGTCCACATTGAAGCTGTTCTGAAGTCAACTACTCGTTTAGCACTGACAGTGCCAAGCCCCCTGTAACTCAAGCCCCTCCTGCCTCAGTTTCTCCTGTGGCATCTTACCACTGATGTGGGTTTCCATCCTCACATCCGCACTTGTACAGATTTCCAAATCATTCACTTAGACATTTTTGCCACCGGCAGTTTTTTTTCCTCATTTGTCCAAAGGACATTACCGTTTCCTTTTACTAGACTGGAATCAGGCAGCTTGCTTTCGCTAAGAAATCCAACCTGTGATTTTCAACTGGAATTACCTGATGTTAAAAAGAAAAAAAACCCACAAACTGTGAGCTTCCCAGTGATCATGACCTGCCAGAGCTGAATGGCAATCTGGGATGTTGCCATTCCAAGGGTCAGACAGCAAGACAGAATTACTTACCTGCCTAAGAGAGAGAGCACAAGAGCAAACGCAACTCTGGAAATTAAAAATCCCATTTGGAGACAATTACAATTCCGGTCCACAGCCCTGCTGCGCTGATGTGGTTAGACAGGCCACCAAATCTCCCTGCAATTGTTCTAATTTCTCCCTTCCCCCAAGCAGATGCAGTGCATGACTCCTCTGAGGTAGCGGATGAAACACTGGCGCAGCCATCATCATTCAGCACAGTCAAGGGAGGAAAACAAGAGCCCAGTGTCAGAAGCACTTGCCAACCTGTCGTAGGCGAAGTCACAAGACGAGCTCGCTATTGAATTCCAGCAGGAGCATAAAGATGCCCAAGGGATCCTGAAGCTACAGCTGGACAGTGATGAAAGGACAATTCTGCTGATGAGAAGTCTTGGCTGCACACAGAGCACCCAAAAGGAGGACAGAATTTGAAAAAACAGAATTTTCATTCATCCCCCTTGCACACGCACTGCCCCAAATCACCTGCTTTTACTAACTTAGTCTCAGTTTATAGGGAATAAAATCTATTTTCTCCACCAACAGTACCCAGGATTTACTGTAAGCTCACAATGCCACCTACTGACAATTAGAAACAGCAACCGAGCTCTTCTGCCAATCCAGAGCAACTCAGGTTTTCCATTAAGTAATTTCCTCTCAATTTCCTTGTATTTATCAACTGTTCTGATGGCTGAATGCAAGTCTTCTAAATATTTGCTTCTTTCAATCATCTTTTGTCTTCCAAAAGTTATTCTTTCAGCTTCTGGTATAGGGAGAAAGTTCCTCCAGATTTTCTAAACCCTTTCATTTCTCACTATTTTGACCAAGAACAGCTAATCCCTCCCAGTTAACAGAATGGGAGAGATTATGTAAGCCTTCTCCTGTCCCAGGTAAACACAGAATGTCTCTTCACAAATTCACACATAACCCATCTGGATAGTGTAAACAAGCTTAAGATTCAGAAATTTTAATGACAAATAATGCTTTTCATACCCTTAATAACCAATCCCTGAGTCTGCTGGTTTAAATTCAAGAAATACAAACACCTCTGAAAGAGGCAGCACTGTAGTGGAAGCTGGCTCTGGGCCAGGGGGAGGGAATCGGAGACCGAGGCAGTCCTCCCAGCTTTTTGCAGCGCTTATTCCCACCCTCCATCTGCTTTGTCTATCGACAGTGCACCAAAACTGTCTTCTGGTGTGCGAAAGGTGTTTGTAAGAATTAGGCCAAGGGAACTATTACCCATTATGGGACTCCTGCGCATTAGCAAGATATAAATAACAGAGGAGTAGGATTCATTTAGGAAGCTGATGTAATATTCAGTTAGTTTCACTGGACGGAGGTCAGTCATTCCATATTTCTTTATTCTGAGCAGGTCACTGGGGAGAAGTGTCCGTATTTGCACACGGCTGAGAGAATCAGACTGGAACAGAGCATCGTGGCAAGAAGAGTCAGGACACACACCAAGGAACAATGTTGCCTGAGCCCCACTGGAACCTGCAGAACCAACTCCTCATATGCCTACAAAGAAAAATAAATGGATTACACACATTTAACAAGCTATTTCTTTTTGACTGCAACTTAGAGGATTAGTAACCAGACCACTATTTAATTAGTCCGTTGCTAAGGCTTCTTCTAGGATTTGGAATCAAAACCAAGATGGGACATCACCTTTTAATTTACAGCAAACAGAGCGCCAGCCACTCTTGCGGTACAGAGTTCAATAAATTTATCTGCTACCATTTTAAAGGGTAGCCATTTATATCCTCTGTATCTTTGTTCTTACGATAGGCTTGCCATTGAGGATACGTACGTAACAGCACAGAAGAGAGAAGCTCTTGGAATGAGCATTTCACAGATCACTGACAAGTCAGTTTTCTCTATTTGGTTTCTCTGTGATGCAGAAAGCTCCAAAATGTTTTTGGACATTCAGAGCTGCAGATATCCCAGACATCTGCAGGTATCTTAAATATGGGAAGGCATAGCTGTCACAAAAACAACAGATTTGTTATGAGACAAATTAGTCTTATTTCTGAACCTAAAAAAGTTGCTACTGCAACTTTTGAGTATCAAAGGCAGTTGTTGGCCACACTAAAGATCCAACTTTCCTCGAACACAGAATGAAGAAACTTCACCTTTTCCTAGATACTTAGCCAATCAGATAACATGTAACCAAACAGAACTGGCCTTTTTTAAAGATGTTATCCCTTCAATCTTTGGGGGTTTACCCCTCCTTTGGTTAGATCATAAAGTAGTTTTCTACCTTGCTATTCCTCTGAAGCACCTGTTTTGCAAAGACCTTTCTTAATTTGACCACTGCCAATTATATTCTAGAATTCCAAGTAAACTATTAAAAAAGACAAGGAGAGCAGCCACTATTAAGAACTAAAAGAACACAGAGTGACTACAAGCATCTCAGAAGGGCAGGAGGACACCCATTAAAAGCTGGTTAAAAAGGAAGAAGGAAGCCTCCTTAAAGAGGAATCACACAACTAGTCTTTTACTGATTAGTTCCTGTGCTATGGAGGTTGCTAATCACGGAAAAAAAGGCAACAATTTTTAAACGAGAACCAAGAATTCCCACCAGAAATAAGAACTCACAGGTTCATGTGTTACGCTGTACCACTGACAGGGGCCGTCGTTTTTGCCTGAACAGGGAGCCTCTGCTTCAGCAGGCTTCCAACACTCTCTTGACAGGCAATCTACAGAAGACATTAATGCATCAGCAGGATCCAGACAGGATGAAACAATATGGCCTGCAAAACTTTCCCAAATGAGGTGTCTTTCCTCCACAAAAGCTAGACAGAATCTACTCCCTAAAAGCCAACAGGTGAAGCAGCACTGACAGAAATGTGCTGGCTAACCTGCACGGTCAAAGCGGCACTGGGCAGTCCTTTTCATGAACTTCACAACTCTTCCCTTCCCGATACAGTCAGTACCCAAGGAAGACTCTCATCTATGTGGTATCTTGGCCCTTCTATCCTTAACAAGGCAAAGAATTCATCATTGGCCTGTAGACCGCTCAACTTTAGCCATATAGTTATAACTTCTCTTTTCCAAAACACAGAAGTCATTCTTCCATTTCTCCATGTTGGCCTCCTGTTGGCACATGAAAGAACTCCCCTCCAATACTTCACATGCTTTCATATTAACAATAAATATATTCTCCTGCTCATAAGTAGTAAATGTGGCAGAAAAATGGGAAGATTGCACACCCCTTTTTTAATTGACCAGGCAGTCTTCCCTGCCCCTAGGCTTATCCCAGAAAATCATTGCTCAAATAATGAGCAAGTGAAGATAAAGGAGCTGAGAATCATTAGCACATCTGAGTTGGCAGCTGGTAAGAATGATTTTGTGAAAATAAATATAACTTGTAGCAAAAGTGGAGGATTTCATTGTTCGTATAACTTAAAACATTCATTGTCAGTGGATATCAGGTTCTAGTTTCACAAGAGTCTGAGACTCCAACCATGCTAACCTTCAAGGACTAAGTTTTCTACATTCCTCTCATATATAGGGAAGGCAGGAAGAGAGTGTTAGAAACCACCAGAATACTTTGATTACTCTGAATACCTGATAGTGAATATTAAATAAGTCATGCATGGCTTCAGCTGCCCAGAGAAACACTGGGAAAACGCGGTCTGAGCAGGTGACCTTTAACAAGCCAGGGCCTGCAGAAACTGTGACAACCAGACTGACTGCCAACACTTTCAGCACAAGGGTACAACGGCGGCAGCAGCGCAACACCAAGAAGTCTGCTGACAATTAATCTGCCTTGGTCAGGCAGCAGCAGCGTTCAAAGAGGAAGAGAGCATGGTCTTTATCAGGGCCACTATCTTCCCCTCGTGTTCACATGGCTACTGAGAGCTCCACCTCCAGAAGACAAATACAGAACCAGATTCCAACTCCGGATTGCCCACCATTATTCCTCTCTTCCCAAAAGAACACGTAATGAGAATCTCACTGTCACAGCAGCAGACCAGTACTTCTGGGCTCTTCAGAACAACCAACGCTTCCTCACTCTCTTCTGCCGGCCGGTGGTACCGCCCATGCACGGGCAAGGCAGCTCTAAAACAGTGAGAACATCGAGGGTCGGGTTCCAGGTACAGGAGAACAAGAAGATCTGTGGCTAAGTACTCAGGAGCCTCCACATCAATGACATCGGGAATTAACACCGCCTGCAAGTAGAGAAAGATACAGAAGTGGTTGTGATCAGAATCGACACAAGGAGGGGTACAGGAAAAAACAAAAGTATGAACATTTTGTGCATAATTCTGGGATTTAAGAGGCCACTGTCTGCTGTGGTAACTTACTGCAGCATCAGAGGGAAAACTATTTTCCTCATTTTCTTTTCTAACACTGGGCCCAATTTTGTGGTCAGGAAGATCAAGTTGGAAATTCTGTCCTTAAGCTATTCCAAAATAACGGTCAAGTCCTGCTCCAACAAGCGATTCTTAACATGTGAAAAGTTTACAGTGCAACCATGCCTATAGCCAAACCTAAGAGGTATTAGCGAAGTGATGCGTATAAGCAAGGCCATACCAGCACCTGCAAGACTCCCAACAGCAAAGGTTGCCCAGCATCTTTGCATCCATATGTTTTAACTGAACAAAGCACCTAAGGAGATCACCTTAAAGCTGTAGCCTTAGCACATCTCTCTACCCAAAATGTGAAGCAAACAACCAGAAAGCAACACGGAAAGGCTGTGATGAGAATGAAGCTGTGAAGCTATTCATCCCGAAGGCACAGAACACTACTTAGAGCCCTCCACCACCTCTTCTGTGGGGGTTAACCTTGGTCTTTTCAACCTGAACAGCTTTTACCATAGCCGCTTATACGGGGCTGAGCAGAGTTGCAGTGGCTCCCCGGCACGCACACACACCTATGTGTAGAAATACCAGCAGCATGTGACACAGAATGCCCTGCACTGGGCGATGCTGATCAAGCTGAGAGATGTCACAAAGATGATACTGCGCAGCATCACCTTCCAGGAAAAGGAATTAATCACCTTGGTTCAACGAGCCAGATAATGACCAGAGATTACAACTTCCTGAGCGTACTCGTCCTTATCTGAGTAACTGTCAGATATCTTAGCTTTGGGGTTGTTACCTTTGTTAAATTGTGCTGCTGCAGTGATGCTAGCTCATAGGGATCCACGTAGATCCCTGGTGGAAGGCGAGTTCTAGCTGCCACTGTGCATCGTCCTGCATCCTTCTCCACTGCACCGAGTTCTACCTTCACGACCAGGTCCCTTCAAACAAGGAACAGAAGCCAAAGGTTTATACCTGCACTTCAAAAGGTGGCACAAAACCCCCCGAGAGACATACTCTCAAATGCACAGATTAAATGCAGCTCTCGCATATGATGTGCTGCAAATTCAGAAAACGGTTCCCTGTCGAGCCATGCTGTCCTTCTCCAGTGAGGAAGATGTAGTTCCACATCCATGACCAAAATGAAGTTTCACTTCTTTGTTAACTTCTCAGAACTACCAACAGCCTCCTAGATCTTCATCTTAGAAAAGGACCTCCTGCTCTTCCTCTGCTATAGCTTGTGATTGTTAAATACTTGATCGTGCTAATAAACTCCTGGTCCTAGCCAAGCCTACAGATCACAGCTCAGTGAGTTGATACAACAGTGCACGAATTAGAAAAGAAGCTTCTTCACATGTAAAATTACCCGGCACGTTATTCTGATGCAGCACCAGGGTGACAACCCACCTGTGAAACCCCTCGTGCAGAAGCTCCTGCGTGACAGTGGCATCCTGACAAGCGGCCTGCACACCTAAGATAACACAGAATGAATGAGTAATGGTGTTTACAGAATAGCAGACATAGTTATCACATTGGCAGACAGCCTTAATAAGTTTAGTCAGATCATCTACAAACACGTCACCTGCAAAACCTCTCACAGCAAAAGGGAAACACTACTTCAATTCAGTACAACCAACAGCCTGTTTTGTCAGTAGAACACCAAGCTTCAGCTACCACGAAGGCAGAAATATCTTTTTTTTTTTCCAGTAGAGCAACTTTCAAAAGTGTGCTTTTGTTTTTACTGAGTCTGTAATAATCCTCACTTTTTCCCCACTACAACCCCCATCCCAGGTGTGATTCCTTATCTCTTACTTCTGTATCAATTGTTAAAATCTGTATCTTATAGGAATGAACTTTGTGTTACAGCCATTCTTTTCTTTATTTTTTCTCCAAGTTTCCATAAGATTTCACTCTTAGAGCTGAAACTCCCGTCATCTTACATACAACGTCAGTATCTCCTTGAGTGGAGACCTAAGGCAATGTTGGCTACTATTAAATTTTGCAAAAGGTATCGCAGCCGTTTTTTCAGTTACCTAACCTGGAAAATTGCTTGCTTCTGGTATTAATTTCAGTAATATTTCAGTTGGAAGGGCCCTACAACGATCATCCAGTCCAACTGATGACCTGTCCACTTCAGGGCTGACCAAAAGTTAAAACATACTAGTAAAGGGAGTGTCCAAACGCCTCTTAAAAGACTGCCAGGCTTGGGGCACCGACCACCTCTCCAGGAAGCCCGTCCCAGTCTCTGACCACCCCCTCGGTCATGAAACGCTTCCACTTCTCCAGTCTGAACCTCCCCTGGCGCAGCTTTGAGCCCCTCCCCGGCCTCCTGGGCCCGGGTCCCGGGGAGAAGAGCTCAGCACCTCCACGTCCCCCCCTCAGGGAGCCGCGATGACAGCAGAGGAGGTTTAGGTCACCGACCCGCGCCCCAAGCCCACAGCCCAGCCCTACAAAGAAGCAGGCGCACAGGCAGCTCCACACCCGTGTAAATAAACACTTTCACGGTGAAAGCCCGGGTAACCTGCCCGAGCCGCCTGATGTCCAGCGGGATCCCAGGCCCTCACGCTTGGATCAGGCGGCAGCGCGAGGCCGTTTGCCCCGTGTTTACGGACACACGGCCCGGCCGGCTTTCACCTCCCGGCACCGCCT